CACACACACACACAAACAAACACACACACACACAAACAAACACACACACACACAAACAAACACACACACACACAAACAAATAATCACACAAACAAACTTCAAACAGATGTTGGTCATAAACACAAAGCTTGATTGACAGGTGTCTCACCTTCATCTTGTGGCCCAGGCTGTCCTCATTGGTCGTCACCGTCACCATGTCGTGCAGGAAGGAGGTCAGCGGACTCACACAGGTCACCAGGACAAAAACATTCACCATGGTAACCAGAGCAGGAGGCGGGGCTTGTACAGGTGAGCGACTGTCAGAGAAAAAGAAGACATTGTATTTATCTGATGATGATCTAAAGATTCAGACAGGTGAGCACACACACCTGTCTTCAGGAGAGTCAGGCTTGTGATTGGTCGACCCACAGGACCGAGGCATCATGGGTAAATCTGACTCTGAAACAGGAAACAGCACAACTTCTTACACAACTATTGTGTCAAGTATAAACCTGGAAACAGGCTCCGCCCACTGAGGTTTACCTGAGACAGACTCACCTGCCAGGTGGGAGTCAGTGTAGAAGTGACACAGGCCTCCACCTGCGTCTGAAAATGCCTCTTTCAGTCTGGGCAGCAGGTTCACCTGCACATGTGCACAAACAGGTGAGCTGTGATGTCATCAAACCAATCAGGTGACTCCATAAGGGTCAGGACAGGTGAGTCTCACCATTTGATGCTGCTGCAGGTAAGAGAAGCTGATCTTCCTCAGACAGCTGCGCTCCGAACTACTGAGACACAGCAGGAGGCTCCACCTACTAACACCTGTAAGCATAGAGACAGTGGGAGGAGTCAAACACCTGTAACCACAGACACAGTGGGAGGAGTCAAACACCTGTAACCACAGAGACAGTGGGAGGAGTCAAACACCTGTAACCATAGAAACAGTAGGAGGAGTCAAACACCTGTAACAATAGAGACAGTGGGAGGAGTCAAACACCTGTAACCACAGAGACAGTGGGAGGAGTCAAACACCTGTAACCACAGAGACAGTGGGAGGAGTCAAACACCTGTAACCACAGAGACAGTGGGAGGAGTCAAACACCTGTAACCACAGAGACAGTGGGAGGAGTCAAACACCTGTAACCACAGAGACAGTGGGAGGAGTCAAACACATGTGGGAGGAGTCAAACCAGTAACCACAGAGAAAGGGGCGGAGTCAGATGATCACAGTCTTCTTCCTGTTTTTTAGTTTTTCCACCTTTAAATAAAAGTCTCGGTGGAAAAAGATTGTGTAAATTGTGTTTTAAATCTATTTCTATTTGTGTTCAACTTTAGACACAAAAACAAGTTGTAAGGTAACTAAGTACAAATACTTTCTTACTGTACTTAATTTGAATTTTTGTGTATCTGTACTTTACNAGGTCAGGTCACATGACAGGAAGTCTCCACCCAGGTCACAGGAAGTCCTGTTTGTGTGTGTTTGTGTTTTTACCCTCATGGCTCCTCAGAAACCAGCTGGTCTCTGCGTACTGGGACAACTGGACCTCAAAGTCCATCTGCTGCAGCACCAGCTGGTGCAGTCGGACCTCGGTGTCAGAGAGCCGGTGCTGACCCGTCAGAACCACGGCTCGACGGACCTGTGGGGGTCTGTGGGCCGAGCGCTGGACCTAAGGAGAAAACAGGACCAGGTTCCGATCAGAACCAGACAGAACCAGACAGAACCAGGATCACGAGTTCTTCAGATCTGGATCTGTTTCTAATCAACAATTAATGTGAAGTTCTACAAAGTAAACCGGTTTGACTCTGGTTTAAACCAGTTTGACTTAAAACAGTTTGACTCTGGTTTAAACCAGTTTGACTTAAAACAGTTTGACTCTGGTTTAAACCAGTTTGACTTAAAACAGTTTGACTCTGGTTTAAACCGGTCTGACTTAAAACAGTTTGACTCTGGTTTAAAC